CTAAAAGGAGTTCAAGTTGAAATGAAAGGATGCTAAACAACAAAAAAGCATAATAGGGAGCGGGGGGGGAATAAGACGAGCATAATAAATTAGGAGACTTTTTGGTACAGATAAGTATGTAGACAAAACAGAATAGTATCTTACTGTAAAGGTGGTGGGTAAATTGCCTTTCATTCTACAATAAAAGTTAAAAGAGAGCCGGGCTCGGTGGCTCAACCTGTAATCCCGCCCCTTTGGGAGGCTGAGGTGAGTGGATTGCCTGAGCCCGTGGGTTCAAGACCCACCTGGGCAGCGAGACCTCATCTCTACAATAAATCAAAAAATCAGCCGGATGTGGTAGCGCATGCCTGTAATTCCGGCTACTCGGAAGGCTGAGGTGGAAGGATCGCCGGAGCCCAGCAGGTCGAGGCTGCGGTGGCCGGGAGCGGCCACTGCACTCCAGTCTGGGCGATAGAGTGAGACTCCAACTCAAAAAAAAAAAAAAAAAAAAAAAAAGTTAAAAGACAGAAGTATTAAAAACAACTATAAATTATGTTAATGGATATGCAATATAAATAGGTATAAATTGGAACATGATAACATATAATGTGGGGGGAAGAGAGGGAAAATGGGAGAATTCTTTAATGCAAGTAAAGTTAAGTTGTCATCAACTTATAATAGACTGTATTAAGATATTTCATGCATACCTCTCTTGGTAACCCCCAAGAAAATACTTGTGGAAGTTATAAAAAAAGAAAAAGAGAAAATAATAAAAATCTATTGATATAACAACAAAAAAGAAACAACAAAGAAAATGGCAAGGGAGAAATAGAGGGATGAAAGAATAAGACAGATAGGAAACAGTTAACAAAATGGCAATAGTAAACCCTTCCCTATCAATACTTTAAATGTAAATGAACTAACCTCCTCAATAAAAAGATATAGAGTGGCTGAATGGATTAAAAAACAAGATCAAACTCTATGCTGTCTACAAGAAGCTTACTTTAGATCCAAGGACACACCTAGGAATGGAAAAAGATATTCTACATAAATGCCAACCGAAAGAAAGCAGGAGTGGTTAATACTTAAATCAACAACATAGACTTTAAGTGAAAAACTATCTCAGGAAATAAAGAAGTTCATTACATGATGATAAAAAGGGTCATTTCAACAGGAAGATATAACACTTATAAATCTATATATGCCTAACATCAGCACACCTAAGTAAATAAAACAAATATTAACAGATCTGAAAGGAGAAATTGATAACAATACAGTAATAGAAGATGTCAATACTTTACTTTCAATAATGCATAGAAAATCTAGTTAGAAAATCAATAAAGGAGAAGCAGACTTGAACAATGCTATAGAACAAATGGACCTAGCAGACATATATACAACTTTCCACCAAAACAGTAAAAGAACACACATTTTTCTCAAGTGCACATGGAACATTCTCTAGAATAGATCACATGTTAGGTCATAACACAAATCTTAAATTTAAGAAGATTGAAATCATACCAAGTATCTTTTCTAACCACAATGGAATGAAACTAGAAATCAGTAATAGCAAGAAAATGGGGGAAATTGTTTGTGAATTTGTTAATGAATTTGCAATTTGGCAGGACCTGGTCCAGATAGCTCATTTCTGCTCCACATAGTGTCTGTCAGCTGGGGCAGCTCAGTGGGTTTGTAGGACTTCACGGAGAGTCTCATTTTCATGATGACTCACTCACATGGCCTACAAGTTGATGTGGCTGTCAGTTTTTCTCGATGTGAGCCTCTCCATGGAAAGCTTGGGTTTCCTTGCTGCAGAGTGGCTAAGTTCCAAGAACAAATGCCCCAAGAGAACTAGAAGGAAGCTCTATTCCTTTTTATGACCTAGCCTCAGAAGTCATACAGCATCACTTCACTGTAGCCACAAATCCACCCAGATTTCAGGGGAGGGAGCATTAAACCCTACCTCTCTATGGAAGGAGTATCAAAGTCACATTGTAAGGAGTCTCATGCAGGTGTTGTTGCATTGGTTCCTGGAAAATATGGTTACCTACACACAGGTAAATTCACATCAACTCTTTTCTCCACTATCTCCTTATACCTCACACCAGTTAGGAAGCCTCATGGTGTTCACTCGTGCATGCTGTGGTTGCCCACATCTGCCACTGTAAGCAGTGATGCACAGTGTCTAGAATAAAAGCACTGTAATAGCTGGGAGTTCCTAACCCTGGCTAAGTACTGATCTGGATTATTATTTTCTTTTTACAAATGAGGAAACTGAATCCTGGAGGGAGGAAAAGTCAGTATTCTTAATGTAGTACAGTAAAATTAGGATTGGACTTCGAATTTCTTAGTTTCTTAACTAGTGTTTTATCTTTTCCTGATAGTTTGTACTTAATTTTAGCTGGTCATTGTAAGCACTCATATAATCTGTATGTGTATGTGTGTGTACATACACATGTATGTATATATTCATATATACATACATACATGCATAATATGCACACATGTATACATATGCACACACACACACACGCTCTGGCAGATTGAGTGCTTGCCTTTTTGGGTAGAAGCTCAGCAGCAATGAAGGGCTTGACAGCTAGAGAATCCAGTTTCAGGGACAGGAGTTAGAGAGCAGAGTTCAAGGGAAAGTCGGAACAAGGAAAATTAGCTTTTCCATAACCAAGCAATTCCTCACTGGGAGGCTTTGCGGTTCATGTGGTGTAGGGACAGTTACTTTGGTTGGGGGCTGCAGCTTTGGTATTGATGAACAGTGTGCTATCCCTGGCCTTACACTGGGCCATCCACCATTAGGGTCCCCATTTGCACGGCCACCCTATGTCTCAGGGCACTATGTGGTCTTTCAGTGTTAACATTCTAGGTCCTGAGGGCAGACATAGAGGTGAACAAAATCAATACAGTTCCCCCATCCTGTTGGAGCATACTTCTAGCAAGGGAGACTAACATTGAATATATAATGATAAAATTGATCAGTTTCGATTGAGATGAGCAGTAGAGGGAAAAAGTGCATGGAACTATAAGACCTTACTACAGGGGCCTGAACTTGTAAGGGGCTCAGAGATGTGGGCTTGATTTGCTCTTAGACGGTTAAAAGGACATGTACTAGGTGAACTAGGTGGAGGAAATTGGGAATCCACTTGTGGGGAGACGCTGGGGAGGAGGACTGTAAAGCCAGTCTGAGGGATGGTTGGCATAAGAGAGCCAGGGTGACAGAGGTAAGGGGGGCAGGGGTGAGATCTCACAGGCTGCATGTCACAGAATAACAGGTCACATCCTGTTCTTCAGTTCTCATCTCTTCCCACCCCACCATTCCACATGAAGTCAGACCCTCTCTCTTTCTGTGAGATGGGAAAGGCACATAAAAGGAGGGAACTATATCCCAGGGACCCATATGGGTTTTGTAAGGCCTGAAGCTTGTATAGTAGGAGAGGAGGTCTTAAAGGAAACACAGTGAAATTATGGAAACAAAGTTAGGTGCACAGCCTCAGCAAGGGCCATGTCAGGGAGGGACCTCCAAGCTTAAGTTTCATTAGCTTGGTGGGGAAGCCGCCTTTGACCCTCCCTCTGTCCTAAAGATCATAAAACCATCCTTTCACCTTGCCTAAGACACGCGTGCAGTCCTTACGCCCATTTCTTCCTGTTTTCTCCTCGGTTGAGATGGCAAATAAAGCATAAATGTCTTATATTGGAATCTCCTGGAAATTGGCTCTCTCCTTGACACCAACAGTGTCCAAAATAACATGGGAATTTCCTCTTTTTGCCCAAGACTTCCATGATATTTTCCCTGATAATCAAGGAAGGGAATGTTGGCTGAGGCACTTTATTCTTTGGGAAATGTGGCACAGGAATATGAATTTCCATAGGCAAAATTACTCTGTCTGGTCGAGTCTAGACTGTCCTTTGGCCAGCTAGTTTGCTGGCGCCCATGCTGGTGCTCTGAGATGCCGCCTGAATTCACTCTGTGGGAGAGGTGCAAATCACCTGGAACTGTGTTTTGGGGGAGGAGGAAAAAACTCATAAACATGAGCTGTGACGATGAAGAAGTTTAATAATGAATAAATTACAACTAAAAGATGGCAACAGACTTGTATCCAGATCCCACTGAAATGATCAAAGCCTGTAACAGTAGTGAAGCGTCTCTGTCATCTAGAACTTGGGGAGGCTGCTGTCCATAGTTCAGAAACGTTAGGGAGGTGGAGACCAGATTGTGGGGAAGATTGACAGGTTGTCTATGTACCACAGAAGAAAGCTCTAACCCTTCCCAAAAAGCTGGTCCTGATTTCCTGGCCAATCCCACAGATAGGCCCACACTCAGGCATATCCAGCAAGCACTCTGGAAATATGTCGGTTTTGGCATGCCAAGCATTGGCCCCAGCACTGGGTGGGTCTTTGAGTTAAGGCCCAGTCTTGGCTAGAGAAAAGGCACTGTGTCCCTGTTAACTTCTGGCTGCCCCACCAAGAAACTGGCAAGAATCCCCTCTGCTCTGTTGTGGTTAGTGCCCTCAGCCTAATGGTCTAATTGCATTTGACTTTTCCCTTCGGGAATAAAATTCAATATAGTCCCATTGCTCAGGCAAAACCTATCTCAAATATAGATTTTTCTGCCTCCCCAGGAGAGCAAATGGGGGAGATGACCAGATTACAACCTGAGAGTTCTTTACTCAGCAGGATTGTTGTTCATCTGAGAGCACCTAAAAGATATTCTCAGTCAAGGATAGCTACCATGTAACCTTCTTGAAAATATAACTTGAAGAGGCGCTTCAGTAGAGTAGGAAATGAATCAAATAAGGAACACGCTCGTGAAATCAGAGCCACGGTGGACGTAGGCTTCCTTGGAACCTTGAGAAGGATCCTCTCCCTATGCTGGGGAGCTGGCTCCCCGGAAGTGGGGGTAGAGGGTCAAAGGGGATGAATTCCCACTGATTTGCAAGAAGGGAATGAGCTGTTGTTTACTTACTTGCCTTGAAATCCTGTCCCAACCTTCCTTTGTGTCTCTTTCATAGACCGTTTTTGAAAGGAATTGCCATTCGGAAGACTGTGCTGCTGACCTGCAGCTTCGGGGTAAACTGTTGCTGTCCAGGTACGTCAATGTTCCTTATACAACAGTGTTCTGAGAAACTCGTTTTTCTTGACTCTGGGCCCAAAACCTTCATGTGCAGATTTCCCCACTGAAGAAGGTAAACAGAGTTGGTGGGTTACTGTGATATTTTGTGGTTTTAAAAAATGTATGTTATTAAATAATTTTAACAACAGCTATTATTTTGGGGGATTGTTTGGGTTGGGTTTTGTTTGCAATTCTACATATCTCAAAATTTCACGTCTATTTCTAATTTCTATTGAGTATTTGTGTGAGGGGGCTGTTTTATGTTTACTCATTACATTAAGTCGAATCATATGAAATTGCCCATATTTGACCTTTGGGACAATCTCAGATGATTTAACCTATTATTATATAAAGGTTCTCTTTAACCTCCTTTACCTTAACAATGGCATCTGCTTCAGCAACGAGTCATGTTTCTGTGGCAGCCTGGAGGCGAAGGAGAGGATCAGGCTGTCCTGATCCAAGTGAACAGACGTTCTCTTTATTATTTCAGGGTTTCCTCCCACACTGCATGAGCCCCCAAGGCTAAAGGTGAACCGTACAGAGCCCTTCTGTTTCCTCTTTGTCAACCTTTTATTTTAGACTCTTTTAGGATGAAGGTGCTGGTTCTGAATCACTTAGCCACATTTCAGAGAATGGCTTCCTTTTGAAACAATTCTGTCTGAAAAACTCTTTTAGCCTTGGAGTCAGAAAACCCTTCCATAATATTTGTTACTTTTTCTCAAAAATGGTAATCAGTTTTGTTAGTTTTTTTTTAAATTGTTTGTTTTCAATTTGAAACTAGTTCTCGGTGTGAAACTAGTTATTTTTCAAAATGCCATAGTGTGCCCCTTACTTGTAATTGTGAGAATTAAGTGTGGATGGAATGAAAGAAATATCCCATCATGAACCAGTAACTACACTAGGACACTTTTACTTATGATGATAATTAATCTTTTCTTCATCAGAGGAAAGTAATACTAAGATTCTTTTTCTTCTGTTTGAGTTTCTTGGAAGAAGGTGATGTAACACCCCTTCACACACACAAATACTCCTCCAAACCACTTAAGTATTAGTTAGCATTGCTTTTACTTGGAGCTAGAGTGGTAGATTAAAGTAGCTCATGTTTTGCCAAGTTTAGAAAATTACTTAAAACTCATGGAGTGTTATTGGAATTGTTTAACAGTAATAAGAAGAGCCTCCTGGGATTATTATAGAAACCAATTCTGAAGATTTATAAATTTTCAGCTTATTTACTTTAACTGTTAATAGATCTTTCAAAAAGCATTTCAGGGAAAAAGTAACAAGAAACAAAAATATATGGATTTGTTTTATCTTGAGGCAGACTGTAAATGCTGAAAATTTATTTTGGATCATAGAAAACTTCATGTGGTGGGAGAATGTTGACTTACTCCAAGGTTAAATATTAAGTTAGGAATGTCCTAATGTTCTTGCTACCCATTAGTGGATGATCAAGTCCATCTCTATTGAATTGTGCTCAATGAAGCATCTTGTGGCTAAAGCTGCCTCCACAGCTCCAATCAGACCTTTAAGAGTGTGGCCAGAACCAGTTATGTTCTGTGGGCCTTAATAATGCTAGAACAACAAATGTGGTGGCCAAGGCCCGTATCAGCTAGCTATTGCCCAAATGATACTGTATAGCAAATCATCCCCAAATTCAGTGGTGTAAAACAGCAATCATTCATTCTCATGGATCTGCAGGTTAGCTGCAGAGGGTAGATTATAGACTTGGGTGACACAAGTCAGCTCTACTCTGTGTGTCTTTCTCTGTTGCCCTGGAACCAGTGGGCTAGCCTGGACATATTCTTCTCATGGTATGACAGAGGTATGCGAGGGCAAGCCGAAATGTGCAATGACTCTTAAGGCATGGGCTTAAAACTGATGCACTATTCCTTTGGCCTTATTCTGTTGGCCATAGCAAGTCACATGGCCAAATTCAAAGTCAAGGGACAGAAAATATTTTCTGCCCCTTAGTGGGAAGAACTATAAAGTCACACAGCAAAGGACATGAGCATAGGGAATAGGTGCCAACAATGCAGTCTACTATGCAGTGTGAAAAGCAGGGTTGCCCTGTCTCTTGTCCTGATGCCTTACAGTTGTCAGTGTTATTTCAACCTTTCTTGCAATTCCATCTTCCTAGAACTCAGACATGAGACCTGGAGACTGAGTGAGGAGATTTTCTGAACCTCAGGGGCAGCATCCTTGGTTCAACGCTCTGAGCCTCTCCTTAGGATGTGTTATTTCTTAGGAGGACTCTGGGCTCTAAAAAGAGCCTTTTGGCTGGATCCTTCATTAAAGAAATTTTCACTGTACTTTTGGGCCTATAAGCTGTTCCCACAGGGGCCATCAGAGATATGTTCATTGGTACTTGGATTAGCTGAGAAATAAAACCAAACCATTTATACTGGATTTCTCCAGACCTTCGAGTGTTCACTTTTCATAGTCAGGCATAATATGGAGTGAAGACACAGTCAGTAAGCTGGTTGTGAAGTCAGGGTCTGAATTTGGGTGACAGAGACTTAGTGTCTTGAACCAGAAGTGAGCTGCTTTGGTTATCATTTAGATTTCTTGATTCATTATTGCCTGGGATGGGATGTACCCTCCTTCATTGCCCAAGCCAGGCAAGTACTGGATGCCAGGCTGAGGATGTGGCACCACTTGGTGAGTACTGCAAGAGAGTTGGATGGGTTGTTACAGGGCTGTAGAGCAGGTTCCAAGAGGCGGTATTAAGGGGAATGAGGAAGACTCAGGCACTCTGGATGGAGCAAACACATGAGCAGAGGTATGACGAGCAGGACTCCCATGAAGATCTTTAGGTGTCTGGAGTGAAGGAGGTGGTCAGGAGAAAGATATAAACCAAATTGTGACATACCTGTGAGTTTGGACTAGCCAAATCATACCATAAGTGCATTTAACCTAACAAGAATGCGGGCAGGCAAACTCAAGGAGCTGGGGATGAGGTGATATGGGTCATTCAGTCCTTTGCTCTGCTCAGTGAAAGTATGAATACATTCTAGCTTGAGTTTTGCATCTTTTTCTCTCTCCATCCATCTCAGATCCTGCTGTCCCACCTCAGGGAAAGCCACCATTTGTCTCAATACAGGAGTCACCTTGGTAGTGTTGGACTTAGGAGAGATGTTGTACTGATCTCAACCATGGTGCTCCCCCATCCTCACAAGGGCAATTTAGACACAGTGTTTGCCTCCCATGCTGTCTTTAGAACCTAGCTCTAGTGTTAGTTGTGGTCTAACTCTATGAAAAGTTGAAGAAGCATAGGAATCAAGAGAAAGATTCCTCTGACTACTGTGTAGACAGTTGGTGCAAGGTGATGTTGCTGGAGGCAACTGAATACCTACGAGACTGAGGAGCTTTTGTCTTAAGACGGCAGAGGGAAAGACATCCAAGAGTGTTTGGGTTACCCAGAGTGGCCAGCGATCAAGTCAGGAAATACTACCTGTGCCTAGGATTCATGGATCTTATTTTTCTCTCCAGAGAGCATGAATTCTGGTAGCCCTGTGATTTCTTAAAACCATCCGTCAACTCTTCAATTAAAAGTCCGTGCTCTGGCCAGGCTCAGTGGCTCAGCCTGTAATTCCAGCACTTTGGGAGACGGAGGCGAGTGGATTGCCTGAACCCGCGAGTTCGAGACCACTCAGGCAACTTGGTGAGACCTAGTCTCTACAATCAATCAATCAGTAAATTACCCGGTCATAGTAGCGTGTTCCTGTAGTTCCAGCTACTTGGAAGACTAAGGCAGAAGGATTACCAGAGCCCAGCAAGTCAAGGCTGCCATGGCCGGGAGCATGCCACTGCACTCTAGTTTGGGTGACAGACTGAGACTCCAACTCAAAAAAAAAAAAGTCCATGCTCTTTAATGGGCTTAAATTCAGTTCCAAAACATGCCATTATCAAAATGCCCAGGAATAGGAATGAAACTGGTTAAAAAGTTTCTATTAAACAGGACTGGAAATTCCAATTGTAAAAGGATGTGACTACGTTTTGTCTTTCTAAATACTTATAGTTTCTAAGAAAGTATCATATGTGATTATGATATAGAAAAAGAAAAATAGACTATGACAGTTGAGCTAAAAAAAAAAAAAGATTTTTTTATTTTAAATGCATCTCATCGGAGATCAGTAGAACATTTCAGTGCCTCCTGGCTAGCAGTTCCAATAAAAGAAAGTTTATTTATTTATTTAAAAGATATGGGGTACAATTCAGGATCAGGTATACAAATGGTCATTGTACAGGTAAAGTTTGGGCCTGACTTTGGTCCTCACTTTGCCTGATTTTAGATCAGGTACCCTTATTGATGAAGTATGTCCTCCTCCCTGCCGGCAGTGTCCTGCTATTGCCAATCCCTTTCTCATAGTATTATGATACTTATTCAGGGTCTGCTTATAAGTGAGAACATGTGGAGAACTTTTTTTTTTTTTTTGAGTTGGAGTCTTGCTCTTTGCCCAGGTTGGAATGCAGTGGCACACTCATGGCCACCCCAGCTTCGACCTGCTGGGCTCTGTCGATCCTTCTGCCTCACCCTTCCATGTAGCTGGAACTACAGGGGCACGCTTCCATGCCTGGCTAATTTTTTATTTATTGTAGAGTTGAGGTCTCTCCAAGTTGCCTGGTCTGGTCTCGAATCCGTAGGTTCAGGCAATCCACTTGCCTCAGCCTCCCAAAGTGCTGGGAATACAGGCTGAGCCACCGATCCCAACCTGTGTGGAGAACTTCTAAGGGAAGTGAAAAGATGCAGCAGATGTTTGGGAAGTTGGAAACATCTAGTGGCAACATATCATCATCCTCTGGTTGTAGCCTTGAGAATGCTGTTATCAGAGGACTGGGGCGGGAGTGAAGTGAATTTCCCAGAACTATTGGCTGGTGGGGAGATAAGTAGATCCATCTATGAAGACCAGCCTTCCAGAGGAGGATCACCTCACCCAGAAAGCTGTTCAGAGTCTGAAACAAATTTTTCTCTTTCT